AGAATGCTGGGAACAAGGAAGGCTACAAAGCCAGTGCCACAGTCAACAGAACACTGAACACTGGGTACCCATCTTGCACTATCAATGCCATCACCATAGTCCCTGCCACTGCTGCCCCCAGAAACAGGATAAGGCTGTCTGCTGTCACTACTGTCATCAAATGAATTCTCCGTTGTCCTTGCTTCTTTACTTACTAGTTCCCAATTCAATGTCTGAGGTGGGAGTGTCTGATTGAGCCCAAGACAAGCACCTATTTCCTAGCTGCAAGAGAGTCTGGGAAAGTGAGCATGATAGTAATTACCTACTGTCTCTCAGCTTCTATACTCTTCTCTGTGATGTTGAGAATGGGACTCTGCAAACTTAATTTTCCCTCTTTTGCCAGTTTGTATCTAGTTAGACTCTGTGAATAGGAGGCACTGAGAGGAAACTGACAGGTGGAATGAGGGGAGAAAGGGTTTTTCTTCCTGTTTGTGGCTCCTGTCAGCATCTTGCCAGCAGCAGAAAAGAGTTACACCTCCAGTCTCTGGATCCTTTAGGCACTTTTCAAGCCAGATACATTGCACCTCATAAATACCAGCACCAGCTGGCTGTGCCCCCGACTCAGTGGACCAAGCACCATTTGAGCCAGGTTCCCTTCAGAGGTCTGGACACCAGCTGCAGTGCATTCTAGAAGACTGAGTGCCAACCACACAGCCCCTACCTCTCTGTCTTTCCAGAGGTGTGAGCACCAGCTGTGCCTGGGCCCCTTCTATGAGTCCCTGGGTCTGATAATCCCAAATCTTTAATTCTCTCAAATCCAGAAGTGATGGGTACCTCGGCCTCTCCTCGTTTTGGTATTTCATCTTCCCAATACTCATGTAACCAGTTCTCCGAGTTAAATCCTCTCCGTTTGAAACACTGAGTATCATTTCTATGTCCTTTACTGAGCCCTGACTGATAAAGTGAAAGCACGGACCTTTCAGCTTTTATAGTGGAATGCCGGTTTTACCTCACACCAAGACTCTCTGAGTAGGAAATTCTTCAACTGTAGGAGTGAGATTAAAATGCTGAATATTTAAATACAAAATGACAAATAGCTACTATATCCACCCTGATTTCTAACTAGGTGGTGGGATCTGACAACACCTTGCTCCCCTTCACACCTGGATTTCAGCTCCAGTTTTGCTATTTATTTGCTGTGTGATCCTGGACAAATCTATTTGCTACTAGAAGCTTCCATTTATACATGTGTACAAAAAAGGAGGGTTATTGAGGCTGTGGAGCTCTCTAGTCCCCTCAGCTTGGACATTCCTTGAGTTTCCAAACTATCTAGAGCTTCCTCTGCGAATTTCTGGCTCTGGAGGCAGCTTTGAGGAGAGAATAAGGAGGAGGGGGAATATGAGGGGCCTGGGTCTGCACAGCACCATGAGTAACACCTACAGATTCCACCTGAGGCGTCCTCCGGGTTCTAATGGGTAGAGAGTAATGAGCAAACAGTTGGCAACAAAGAGACACAGCATCTTCCACTGAGGTCCTTGTCGGGAAGAGGGTTCCCTGTGCTCAGCCCTGAGGGCTCTGAGTTCATCCCTGAGCACAGAGGTGAGCAGACACTGTCAACTGCAGGGTACGCTCAGGCCATTTCCAAGGACCTCTTGGTCCATAGGCCCCTAGGACAGATGATTCTGTTCCAGTCATTCATGTATGTCAATCTCAACCAAGGATTGAAAGGTACCAATGGTATGGACAAGCATCAGGTGCTTATCTGACCTGGCATGGTTCCCCAGCTGCCATATTTTCTCAAATATAGAAGTACTCTTTGACATTATTAGTCCATCACCTTCATCTTGTGGATGGGAAAAGAGGTCCTAAGAGGAGCATCCCTTCACCCTATCCTGTCCCAAACAGGTCATACATTCAACCAGGGGCAAAGTTGGAATTCATGTTTGGATCTATTCATTCTCAGATAAGTGCTCTTTCCACAGGATGCGGACCAGTGATGACGTTGGTAATTTGACCTGGACCCCAAAGATGCACAGGACTAGGACAGGCTTCCGAGGAGAACAGACTAACTGTCACGGAGGTGTGGAGGCAAGAGCAATGTAAAGGTGGGAGATGCCACACACAGGGACCACTTGGCTAAATGGTCACCCTGCAAAACTGCCAAATTAGCAGTCTTTTAGGAAGTCTTCAGCACGACTCTGCCCTGCTCTGCTCCCCGCTTTCAATGATTCTAACATTTCCTCTGGATCTCCCTCTGCACCAGGAGTAGGCACCAATAGACTTCTTAAGCCTTTATTTTTTTCCCCCCTGACACATTGGCCCTTAAGTATCACCCAATCCACAGGTTCTGAAACTTTAAAATAATTTGGTAGTACTTGTTAGAAATGCAGATTCCTTGGCTCTACTCCTAGAGATGGCAATTTCCCAGATCTGGAGAACCCAAATTTTAGACAGATCACCCCCTCCCCCAAGTAACTCTAATGTAGGTGTTTGCTGACAGCATTTTCAGAAATATCATCAGTTTAACCAACTCTTTCTAAAGAGGGAGGAACTGAGGGGCCAGCCCAGTGGCGCAGCGGTTAAGTTTGCACATTCTGCTTCAGCGGCCCGGGGTTTGTCGGTTCAGATGCCGGGTGTGGACATGGCACTGCTTGGCAAGCCATGCTGTGGTAGGCGTCCCACATATAAAGTAGAGGAAGATGGGCATGGATGTTATCTCAGGGCCAGTCTTCCTCAAAAAAAAAGAGGAGGATTGACAGCAGATGTTAGCTCAGGGCTAATCTTCCTCAAAAAAAAAAAAAAAAAGAGAGAGAGAGAGAAACTGAGAGATGGGGAGAGGAAAGGTCTTACTCAGCAGTGAGTGGATCCCAGACTCTTTTTAGAGCCTCTTGACTCAAATTATACTAAACAATGAACTTATTAGAAAGAGACGTCCAGGTTTGGAGGTGCAATGGTGACCAAGTCTCCTGCTTTGGGGATTCCTTCTCAAGCCTGTAGCTTTCTTATCTTGCCAAGTCCTTTGGGTACTCCTTTCTCCTTCCTCTGGACTTCTCCATGCCTTTCCTCTCCCCCTCCTTCCACTTCCTTCCCATCTGTTTCAATTACCTACCTATTGCTGTGAATATGTTTTCCTGAAACTTAGCGGTTTAAAGCAAACATTTTTTTCCTCACTATTTTGTGGGTGAGGAATTTGGGAAGGAATCAGCTTGATGGTTTTCTCTTGAGGTCTTCACATGATTGCAGCCAGATGTCTGCTGGGGCCATAGTCATCTGAAGGCTCGGTTGGGTTGGGAGCTCATTCACATGGCTGGAAACTAACACTGGCTCTCAGGTAGAGCTTATCTGGGGCTGTCAACCAGAGCACCTACACAGGCCTCCCAAGCATGGCTGCCTCAGGGTAGTTGGACCTGGCAGCTGTCCCCAGTACCCCCAAACAAGCATCCTAAAAGGATTAAGTTGGAGTTGCGCCTTTTCTGGCCTAAAATTCACATAGCCTCATTTGGCTTTACTCTGACAGTCAAAGAAGTCACAGTTTGCCCAAATTCAAAGGAAGAGGAAATAGGCTCTACCTCTAGATGGGAGGTGTGTGAAAGATTTTTTGGATTCTGCTTTAAACTCTCACATTGTCCAATATCTCTTCTCCCTCCTTGTCTGTCTCCTCGTTGCTTCCCCATGTCTCCTCCTCTCATGCACCTCCCCAGTTTTCTTCTATTTTATGGTGTCTATGCTGTACTATGAAACTGTGTCCTTTACTGAAGGTCCAGGAAGCAAGCCCATGAACCCTTTCAGAGGTGGACCTACCATGAAGTTGATGGAGCTCAAGCCTCAATGTCCCTCCCTTGAGCAGGGCCCTTTGAAGACACTGGGAGTGGACAAATGATTTGTGTTATTTGTAAAAGTAAGATATTCTAACCATTATCAACTAGACTGTTGTTCTTTCCCACTCTGACTTTTCCTATGGCACACTTCTCCTGGGTCAGGTGGTGTTGGAATGGCTGCTGGCATTTTTGACATCCAACTAAAAGGAAGTTGAGTTGGGGAACTCATTTGGTTTGAAGTTAGTGGGATGTATTTAGGTTACTCTCATTTCTACGTATCGTTAAGTTGCTACTATCTCTCCTGGTATATCAATGGTTCTAAGCAATATTCCTATTGCCTACTGTGCCACTTCTCTGACATCATGACTTTAAGGCTAGAAGTTATATTGTAATGGAATGTACCTAACTCTAGAAGGTTGTGGGTGGTGGAGGAGAAACAAGATTTGAAAATTCTTCCAAACATCAGATACATAAATTTATGAATAGAAAAAAAGATCCATTTTTATGGAAGCCTGCTCCGAACAGACATTCTTTACTAGCAAGAATATACTTGATAATTCAATATGTACAATTTTAAATGCACCACGTACTTTCTTCTTTTTTGATGGAATTGTACAAAAGAGAATTTATGAAAATTTCTGCATTTTTAGGGCACAAATCTGTCATAGAACTACAAATATCAGGTATGGCTGTGCATTCAGCCATGTATTTTATGCAGCCCAACTATAATCAAAATCAAAATATAATCATTCTTTGATCAGCCATGTTAAACAAAAGACTGAATTATTTTTTTCTTGGAAATTGAGTTTTACAGAATTGATGTCATAAATGTAAAAAATTAATAATTAATTTATATAGATTTTGTGCAATTTGTGGTATTTGTTAGCTTTTTAAAATTTGCAGTTGGTGTCAATTTCTCTTCTCTTTGAAATAATACTCACTTTTTAATTTAATTTGTATTCATTTTTTAAAGGAACCCCCTAATTTTATAAGCTTTGACCATACAAAGACTGTATCTGCTCTGGTTCCATTCTTAAGCATCTTATGACAATTTTACCAGGGCAACAGTGTCACCAGAGTTCTCAACTTGCAGGATTTTCATACTCCTCTCTCCCTCTTTTGTTGTCATTGGAAGACCCAATGACTTCTTATTCTCCTAAACCTGCAGAGAGGGAGAAGATGTGAATTATTTAGCCTCAGAGATATCAGACCACACAGAGCACTTTATTCGGAGGAACTGGAGGCTTCCAAAGGATAAATGGGGGCCCTGAAAGTTGAAGAGATACGGTGACACACTGAGAAGGAGTCAAAGGGCGAAGGGCATTGTGTTTGAAGAGAAGCTGAGCTGGAGGAAAGGGAGTGAGAAAATCCTGGGGTTTGGTTTTTGGAAGGGCCAAGGTCTTGGCAGCTGAGACTTGGCCAGTGGAAGCCAATGGGGCACATCAATCAGGCACACATGGAGAGAGCCCTGGATTATGAACCAGATCCTGGAGGTTGTTCCAGCTCTCCTTATCCTAGCCAGGGAGATGACGATTCTGCGAGATGGCAGAATAGAAAAGAGTGAGATGCTTGGGCCTTGCTCACCTTAGTAACCAAATCTTGCAGTTAATGGCAAAAAGGAGATGGAGTAATTTTTAAATCTTTTCGTAGGAAGGGAGAACGGAAGTGGAGTGACTTTTGGGGCTCATAGAGTGGTTTTTTTTTAGTAAGAGTCCCAGTTTATGCCTGTTGTCCCAAAGTAATAATTAATGGCATCCCCTTCCACTCTCAAAAGCGTCCTGGTTTGGTCAATAAAGCATGTGCTTGTCCTGGCTATCATCACCTTAAAAAAGAAAATGAAGAGAATTGGTGACAAGGTTTAGTAAGAAAGAAAGGCCTGGAGGGATTTGCTAGTGCATGGTGCCCCGCACTGGGCTGGTTCACTGGGCCTTCTTCTGACTTGTTATCAAACACTCCACCACCTCTGCTTCCTCTCTCTACACCCCTTGTTCATCTCATACTTGCCAACTTTGACTACTGCTCTCTACCCTCTCTTTCCCAAAACATCCTCTACTTAACCTCTACGAGGTGCATTCTTGCCTCCTGATTGGACTGGTTCTGTCAGCCCCAGGCTTGCCAAGTTCCTGGATTGGCCCAGCCAACACCCAAGCCCTCTAGTGTGGCCTAGGTGAGCATGGGAGACTGGGACCCCGGGACTTACTTTTGCCTTGGCAGATGATTCGGCAGATAGCTTCAGATTGGAAGTTGTTATTGTTCCCTAGGCAACCGCCATAGATGAATCTGTAGCACCTCTCAGTTTTCTTATCATACCACCAGCGTGGCATGAAGGCCATGCAGGGGCCAGATTCCTTTGGCATACTGCATACGTCTGCAGGAAGATTTGGGAGCAGAGCTGTTTGGGTGCCTGTCTCCCTAGAGAACATTCCAGGCATGTGCAAATGCAGGCATGAATGCTCTAAAAATATCATGTCCTTACACATCCCCCTGCCTTTGCACATACCTCATATGTCCATCTGTCTCTTGCTCACTAGGTACATTCCTGTTCATTCTTTAAAACCCTTCCCGGATATCAAACTCCTCTTTTCCTGATGTCTTTCCTGGCTCCATTCTTCACTCCTTGCTTTTTCTTATTGCTTCTCCATCTTGCAAACACATTTATCACTTCCGTGTAATTACTTGTTCATATTTTCTGACGCCTCCATGAGGACGTGAGGTTTGTGCCTTATGTCACTTGGTATACCAGTTCCTAGCAGATAATTTGGCACTGAGAAGATACTTCAGGAACGTTCACAGTAAAAAATCAAATGCATCTTGAACATCAAGGCGCGTTTATTGGGCAACTGTCTTGTGCATAGTGCTATGAGGTACAAATAGAGTTTTTTAGAACCTCATAGTCTGAAGCACGATAATGGTAGCATTTATGAAAGCGTCAGGCACTGTTCTTAGCACAAGACATATATTAACAGACAATCTTATGAGGTAGGTCCTCTCATTGTCTTCATTTTGCAGATGAGGAAACTGAGGCTCAGAGAGGCTAAGCAACTTCCCTAAGGCCACATATGTGGTAAGGGATTTGAACGTAGATAGTCTATTGCTCTCAAGATCAAGACCAGACCTCTTAATCTGGCTGGCAAGGCCCTGCATTATCAAAACCTTCTCTACCTAGTCCAGCTTTATCTTTCTCATCTCTTACCATGCTCATGCTCACTCTACGTTCTCTGACCTTTCTAACCCTGAGCATACTGTCTCCTCCCACAGGGTCTTTGCACAGGCAATAGGCAAATTATCTGTGCCTGGAAAGCTCTTCCTTCCAATTTTTTGCCTGCCTACTACCCATCTTTCAGATCTTAAATCATGGGTTCCTTTCACAGGAATACCTTTCCTGTCCTCCCTGGCTACACTGAGCAAGTGGAGTCCATCACAGGTGTCAGGGGCACAAGTAAACATTTGTTGAATGAATAAATGGATGCATAGAACATCCATAGTCTTCTTTAGAACAATGATATGGGCAAATGAGAGGAAAGAGTGTAAGAGGTCAAAGGTGGAAGGGAAGTCTTCCTAGATTTATATAGACAGAGAGGCCTGGAAACAAACAGGAAATACTAATATATACCTGTTTTTTATAGCTATCATATCACCTGCCACCATGTTGGCGTTTGATGAGACTTATGTGGCTACTTGGCATCTCAGAGGATCACAGAAGAGTAGCCAAGAGACCATGTGGTCTAATATGCTCATCTTTCTTACAGATGGGGAAACTAAGGCCCGTAAAAAAATTATGTTACCCACATCACATACCTATGTAAGGGCAGAAATGAAATAAAACCTGTGTCTCCCAACACCCACTCCAGTCCAGCACTGATAGAATCTGTGTCAAGTAGAAGATGCACCCAGACTCTTGGTCAGAGATCACCCATCAGTGAACCAGGGAAAGGGTCTGGCAATGCCAGTGCAGGTGGGCAGAAAGCAAGGGGAGGGGGAGGACATTGGATAGTTCAGGGGATTTTTGAGTTACCTTTGTTGAGGTCTAAACATTCCTTTCTACAGCCAAATCTGCAACACTTCATGTTCTCTGGGCAGTGTCTGTTCTTCGTACATTGATCCCTTTCTTCATGTAGGCATTTTACTCTGGTTCTGGGACACATCGCTGAGGGAGGGGAAGAAGGGACCTTGAAGGGGCCAGAGGCCTTCCTTCCCAGGCCCAAGGCACCACTGCAGAGTTAGGGAAGCTTGTTTTCACTTCACTGTTCCCAGAAGGTAGTGACCTTCAGGGGGCTCAGGATTTTCACACTACTGCCCCCATCCCCAACCCCATAATAACTCTTCATCTAATCCCTAAACCCAGCTTTACCTCCATCCCCACCACCCATAAGATTTCAGGGAGAAGGATGCTCTCCCCTAGGACTATTCCGGACCTCCTGTATTTGGATGTTCCCTTGGGTGGGGGCGCTGTGGCTCTTGGTGACTGAGATCTCCATTTCTGGAGTCAGATGGCTGGGCTTTTGAATTCTGTGCAACCCTTGTAGGGGAGGCACCAACTCTGAACCTTGATTCCCTCATTTTCCTATAGGATTGTTTTGAGGATTAATGTGACAAAGTTTGTAAAGCCATTGTCAAGCTGCCTGGGGCATAATGACAATAACTAATATTGATGAAGTGCTTACTGTGCAATTGTCCTTTTCTTTTTAATCCTCATTACAACTCTATAGGTAAGTCTTATCAATCGTCACATTTTATAGACAGAGGCATCTGAAGCACAGGGAGATTATGTGAACTTGCCCAAGGTCATGCGGCTGCTGAGGAATGGAGCCAAGATTTCGACCTGCAATGCATGGCTCCACTGCTGTCTGAGTGCTCAGTATATTTCAACTGCTAATTATGGGGGTCTTTACATCTCAGCATTCCAAGGGACTTCCAGAGACCATTCTTTACCCCAAAGGCAAGGATTCCCTGTGGGTGTGGGTGTGGGGAGATTTTGGGGGGGCTGCAACAGGAAGATTTGGAAGCTGATGAGGGTGCTGCTAGGGGGAAGGGCCTTTCTTGTGAGAAAGGTCCTTAAGCTTCCTGGTTCCCTTAGTCCACTTCACGAGCTCCAGGTCCAGGCACTTCCAGGAAGAATTCCTCTCAGAATGACAGTGGGGAGTCAGCTGCCACAGACTCTGGTGCCTGCATTCACCAAGGGCATCTTACCAGGAGGAAGGGTGCTGAAAGAATAACTCCAAATATCTCCCCTCTCTCCTACTCAGGATCCCAGGCTGAGGTGGGGAAAACATTCCTCATCTGTAGCATTCCTTGTTCCTTCCTCCCGGCAAAGCTCCCTTTCTCCACTGGGAGGACTGAGTCTCCAATACTTACTGTTAAAGGTCCCCTCAACTAGCCCAGGTTCCTGGATGGCCCCCAGGAGGATGAATGGCACCAGGATTGGCAGAAGTCTCAAGAGCCCCATTTTAGGAGGGACTGGCCTGGCTGGTGGCACCAAAACTAGGAACTGCCGCTCAGCAGCTCCTGCTCCTGAACCTCCGCTGCCCCAGCACAGCCTAACACTCCGGGAGCCACACACCACTGGAGACAAGCCAGCCATACTCCCTCCGCTGGGGAACACTAAGTCCCCGAGGCCATCAGTGGGACTAGCTGGCACCCACAACACCAATCCTGGGGGACGGGCTCTTGATAGGCAGCTCCTAATCCTCAGGTCGCTGAGGCTCTCTGGCTTGCCGGTCAACCAGGGAGAGGGTCAAAGCCTGTCTAGGGCTTCTAGACTCCCTTAGCAGAAAGAGATGTCCAATTCCAGGGTCTTCCATTTTCCCGGGGTAGGGGGGCTGTTTGGAAATCAAGAGTACCGCCGTTCTCTTCTGTCTTTCCGATCTCACTCTGCTCCTGTCTATTTTTCTGTCTGCTTATTTTTCTCACACTGTTTATTTTCCTTCTCTCTCTGCCTGTTTTACTCTGTGCCCATCTCTTTCCGTGAGTGTCCCTCTGTCTGGGTCTCTTACTTCCTGCCCCTCGTTTCCCTTCTGTTCTCCTCTTTCTTCTCTTTGGGCTGCCTTTTTTCTTTAACTATTGTCAAAGAGTAAAGCTATAACCATGAGAAGCATGTGGGGGAGGAGACAGGTTGATTCCAGACTGAACTGAATCTTCAGAGAGTGGCTGCAAGATCATGGTGCTCTGAAAGCAGGAGAGAACATCAGGGCTAATGGAGAGCTTCTATCATCAGGTGCAATTTGCAAGAGGTGATGCAGGAGGGAAATAATAAATGTCAGCCATGACCTCAGAACCAGATGCAGCAGTGGGGCCTGAAGATTGTTCCATTGAACTTTTCAGTTTAAGGCTTGAAGCATCAGTAGACATGCTCTTGGCTCACCTCTGATTTCACTTGCAGCTGCAGGAGACAGTTCTAGGGCACATTTTTTTTCCCATCCATTTCTTAAAATTGAGGTGGAATTCACATCATATAAAATAAACCATTTTTAAGTGAACTTTTCAGTGACTCGTTAGTACCTTCACAATGTTGTGTTACCATCACCTTTATTAGTTTCAAAACATTTTCATCACTCCAAAAGATAAACCCCATACCCACTAGCAGTCACTCTCTTTCCTCCCAGCGTACTCCAGCCCCTGGCCACCACTAATCTACTTTCTATCTCTATGGATTTACCCATTCTGGATATTTCTCTATAAATGGAATCATATAGTATATGACCTTTTGTGTCTGGCTCTTTCACTTAGCATAAGGTTTTTGAGGTTCTTCCACAGTGTAGCATGTATTAGCGCTTCATTCATTTTTATGGCTGAATAATAGCCACTGCGCATTGATATCTTCCTGCTTCAAGGGTCAGAGTCTCCACTTCTCTGCCAGGACTTTTCTCTGGCTCTCTGGGAGGTTGCTTAGCTTGCATGGGGAACAGTATGGCAGAGTTAGAGATTTAATACTCCCAGGCATCCAGTAGGGGATGAGAATCAGTGGATTAACACCTCAGCTTCCCCATCACTGGAGACAGATGAAGAAAATTAGGAAGCATATTTTACATGCTTCCTTACAAGTTCCACAGTAGGATTAAGCGGCAGTTTCCCACAGTGGTAATCAGGCCATAATCGACTCCTCTCTTCCCTTATCACTTAGCCCACTCCCCACCTTGTGCTTCTTGAAAGATCTCCCAAATAAACTACTTTTATCCATGCCCTTGTCCTAGGACTGGATTCTGGGGGATCCAAGCCAAGGCAATGCCCGTGGGCTCCTGTCGTAAAGGGTCTCAGAATTTTTTGAAGAAACAGAGGATAACAACATCCCTGGAGCTTTCAACTCTCAAAGTTCTGATTGTCTTCACTCCCTTTAATGGTATCACCAGAAGCCTTTATGACCCCGCAGAAGCTCTGCAGACTGTAACGTGCCAACAGATGTGAACTACTCAGCCTCAGAGGCACAGGGGTAAACAGACACTTTATTGGGAAAAATTGGAAGCTACATAGGTATAAATAGGGGGCTCTAGAAGTTGGACATAAAATAAGAAGGCGTAGAGATGGGTTCAAAACAAAAGGATATTATGTCTGAAAAGAGGCTGAGATGGAGGAAGGGGGAGGCAGATCCCGGAGTTCCATTTTTGGAAGAGCTTAGGCCTTGGAACGCTGAGAGTGGGACAGTGGAAGCCAACCAGGAGCATCGGTCAGGCACACGGACAGAGCCTTGGCTCATGAGCCGAATCCTGGTTGTTGTTCTGGTGTATCCTTATGCATTCAGGGAAGTAAACCTGTTGAGAATATAGGACAGGACCAGTTGAGCATCATGGGCTCAGCTAATCTTTGGAACTAGCCTAGAAGTTACGTTTGTACATCTTTTCACAGGAGATTAAAAAGAAGTGGGTTTGCTTTGGGAAGCTATTAATCTCCTTAAAGGAAAAAAATGGGTTGTAGATGGGAGTGGGTTGCTGGCGAAGAGTTGTGATGAGGAAATTAACGGCCTGGAAGGGGTGGTTAGTCAACATGTCCAGTGCTAGGCTGAATGTCCTGTGACCTCTCTGAAGTTGGTCTCTGAGATTTCACCACATCTGCATCCTCCCTCCACCCCTCATGCATTGTCACCTTTGATTCATGACCACATCCACTCCCAATCTCAGTTCCCAGAAAGCCAGCCCTCTGCAAGGAGCATTCTTACCTCCTGATGGGAGCTCGTTCTATCAGCATGTAATCTGCCAAGGATATAACCATCTTGGAACAGACCAGCCAACACCCAGACTTCCCAGCGTGGTGCTAGCAAGAATGGGACTGGGTCCCCTGGGACTCACCTTTTCTTGAGCAGATGTTCTGGCACACGGCTTTGCTTTGGAAGTTGTTATTGTTTCCTTGGCAGCCACCATAGATGAAGGTGGAGCAGGTATCATATTTCTTATCATACCACCAACGTTGGAAAAGACCCAGGCAGGGGCCAGTTTCTTTTGGCATTTTGCATACGTCTGCAGGGAGACCCCAGAATTGAGAACTTAGAGTGCCCACCCCCAAAAAATCTTCTGTTATTGTCTCTGCTGGCAACCACCATGGATGAAACTGAGTGGGCTCCTTCCACTATGTGACACCTCAGGAGCCCAGCTCCATTGATATATTGTGCACATTTGCAGAGAGACCCCAGAGTGGTGCTGTTTGGATGTCCATATCCCTGGAGAACATTGGTCTCCCCCTTCCTTTCTGGTCACCAGCCTCACTGTCTCCCCTGAGAGTGAGGAGACTCTGGTTTCAAGGCTCTGCTCCTAATTCAGTGTGTGCACATTGACCCATGTGACCTGTGCTGTCCTTGACTTCCTCTTCTGTAAAATGGGAATACAAAATCCCACCCTGCTTGTTGCACAGGGCTGTCCTGAGGTGCAAGTGAGACCACCCTCACGGTCCTCTAATTGTGAGCTCCTTGATTGTATCTGAAGTTGCAGCTTCTAACATAGTGCCTGGCAGAGAGTAGCAGGTCAACAAATATGCCCTGAGTGGATGAAAGATATGGAAGTGCCTTGAAAATTATAAACTAGGGGCTGGCCCCATGGCCGAGTGGTTAAGTTTGCGCGCTCCGCTGCAGGCAGCCCAGTGTTTCGTTGGTTCGAATCCTGGGCGCGGACATGGCACTGCTCATCAGACCACGCTGAGGCAGCGTCCCACATGCCACAACTAGAAGGACCCACAACGAAATATACAACTATGTACTGGGGGGCTTTGGGGAGAAAAAGGAGAAAAATAAAATCTTAAAAAAAAAAATTATAAACTATAAGCCACTTATTCTGCCCTCCAACCCATGCCAAGAAAAGAGAATATGGGATCATAAGTACAGGGCAGGTCCATGCAGGGAAGGCAGGGGGTGGTTTTTCCAATAGTCAAGCACCTTTTCTCCCTGCTTCAGTCCTGTTATAGGTTGCGTTATCTCCCCCCACCATCCCACTCTTATGTTGAAGTCCTAACCCTCAGTACCTCAAAACGTGACCCTATTTGGAAATATAGAGTTGTGATGGATGTCATTAGTTAAGATGAGTCATACTGGAGTAGGGTGCATCTCTAATCTAATATGACTGGTGTCCTTATACAAAAGGTAAAGACACACACACACGCACACACACACACACACACGGAGAACACAATGTGAAGATGAAGGCAGAGGTTTACAAGCCAAGAAATGTCAAAGATTACCAGCGAACCACCAGAAGTTAGGGGAGAGGCATGGAACAGGTTCTCTCTCACAACCTGAGAAAGAACCAACCCTGCCCACACCTTGATCTTGGACTGCCAGCCTGCAGGACTGTGAGACAATACATTTCTATTGTTGAGGCCACCCAGTTTGTGGCACTTTGTTATGGCAGCTGTAGCAAATTAATATAGGTCCCAACTAAACTATGAGTTCCATGAGGATAAATACCCACGGCTAAACAGTTAAGTCCTGCTGATTTTCACCTCCTCATTGCTCACCTCTCTGCCACTCTCTTCAATCTGAGCCTCAGTGTCTCATGCCTGGGCTGTTGATACAGCCTCGAATTGATCTTCCTGCCTCTGTCCCTGGCCCCTCCAATCAATCCTTCACGCTGCCCACCACAGAGAAGGACATGCTGGATCTAAAACGAAGCTGATCATATCATTCCACAGCTAAGATCTTGACTTCATGATGGTCTCCCCATGACCGACAGGCCCTTCATGCTCTGCCTCCCACTGGTGGCTCTGGCCTCCTCTCCTACCATAGTACCCTTTTGACCTACATGCTCCCATGATCTTCAACACACGATGCTCCTTTTCAACACACCTCCACACCTTTCACTCCATATTCCCCCTGCCCGCCCCTCTGTTGTTCGTTAGTGACACTCTTATTCTTCCTTCAAAACCTTTCTCAGACATCAGCTCCTCTGTGGTGTCTCTGACTCCATTCTACATCCCACACCCCCACAGGTGCCTGAGTCAATCCTGCATTTTTCTACCATGCTTCTGAATCTCGTGTGCATGTTTATCATTTGTTTACATCTTCAGTCTCATCTGTGAGCTTCTAGTGAGCAGAAATTGTGTCTGATTTCATCTTGGAACCCCATTCGTAGCAGGCGGTCTGGCACAGTATAGGATTTTACAGAGCGTTGAGGGTAAAACCAAATGCATCCTGACCTGAATGAATAAGTCATTCATTGAGCACCTACTGTGTACTAGATGCTTTAAGAGACAAAGAAAAGGCGTGGGAGCTCCAGATCAAGAATGATGAATAGTTTAAGCCAACATGTATCATGTGGCTATTATGTGCCAGACATTGCTCTAAGCACTTCATGTGCATCAGCTTATTTGATCCTCCAAATAGCATTCAACATTGATCTGAGGAAACCGAGACACAGTGAAGGAAAGTGATAATTTGCCCAAGTTAAATAGGCTGGTGAAAACTGAAGCTAAGATCTGAGGTCAGGAAGGCTGGATGCAGAATCCCTCACCTGCAGGCAAATGAGTAACTTACCACCCTCCTGCCTTCCCACTCTGTTCCATTGTCAAGTTTTGTTTACTTCTTAAACACCTTTTAAACACATTCCACTCTTCTTCATCCCCTCAGCCACCTATTTAGTCCAAGCTACCATGTTTTTTCATCCTGAAGTCCCTCAAGACACTCCATTCCGCCTCTGTAGGGATAGTTAAAACCTGGTCATGTCACCACCCACCTCAATGGATTTCCATCAGTCTTAGAATCCAGGTGAGGTTCTAGCTCACCAGACCCTACCTACTGGGGGATCTTTTTCCCTTTACCACGTTCATGCTCACTCTTTCTCTCTGGTCTCCCTAGGAGCCACCATTGAGCCTTGTACATGTTTTTCCCTCTGCCTGGAAAGCCCTTCTACCCAATTTTTGCCTAAAGTTATTACCTATCCCTCTGAACTCAACTCCAGGTTTGCTTTCTCACAGAGGTCTTCCTCAGCTTCCCCGACCACACTGGTCAAATCCTATGATGAGTCTCAGATACATTTGATAAATATTTGTTAAATGAATAAATAAAGAATCTTTGATAGTCTTTTTGGAGCTCAGGGAGATGGGCATGAATTTAAGATTGCAGCAGCAAGGAAAAACCCTCGGGTCTGGAGTGGTCAAGGGAGATGATTTCCTGGTGCTAAGGCAGAGAGATGGTCACTCTGGAGCAATAAGCTAGGAAATACCAACTAATTAATTGTCACTTGCAGCAACAATGTTGGAATATAATGGGCCAACAAGGGCCACCTGGGGACTCAGAAAATCATAAGAGTAAAAAAAAAAACATAAAGGAAGAAAAGCAGCCAAGAGACTATCCTGTTCAATCCCACCCCTGCACCCATCTTTTGTTTGGGGAAACCAAGGCCAGACAAGATGAAGATATTACCTAATGTCATACATCATCTTAGAGGTGTGATGAATTTAAGTTCCAGGTCTCCCAAGCCCAGGAGTCTTGTTCAGAGACCAGCCCTTAGCAAACCAGGGACAATGCCAGCTTAGGTGGGAAGAAGGTGAGGGCATGGGTGGAGGGCTGGTTGTTCTGAGGCTGTAATATTACCTTGTAGGAGGTCTAAACATTTTTTTCCACAGCTGAAGACACAACACTTCGTTTTGTCCGGGCATTCTTCGTCCGTCGTGCATTCATCCCTTTCTTGGTATTCACATCTCTCTTGGATCTTGGGGCATCTCCCTAGGGAAGGGACAGGCTTACAACCATGAGTGTGGAGGGCACATTGCCCACTCTTCTCCAGACCTAAGACAATTCTGGGAAGCCAGGGAAGTTTGCTTTTACTTTGCTCGTCCCCAGGAGTCTTTTTCCTCAGTGTGCTCTCATGTATTTCCCGGCACTGCCTTCACTACGCTCCCTCCTGACCACCCTCACTCTCTGCCTTCTTAGCCCGTCCCTAGTGCCTCCCCCTCCCCCCATCCCCTCTAAGGCAGGATTTCTCAACCTTGACACTAGTGACATTTGGGCCAGATAATTATTATTATTATTTTTTTAAAGATTTTATTTTTTCCTTTTTCTCCCCAAAGCCCCCCCGGTACATAGTTGTATATTCTTCGTTGTGGGTCCTTCTAGTTGTGGTATGTGGGACGCCGCCTCAGCGTGGTTTGATGAGCAGTGCCATGTCCGCGCCCAGGATTCGAACCAACGAAACACTGGGCCGCCTGCAGCGGAGCGCGCAAACTTAACCACTCGGCCACGGGGCCAGCCCCGGGCCAGATAATTATTTGAAGGGAAGAGGAGGGCTGTGCTGTGCATTGTAGGGTGTTCAGCTGTATCCCTGGCTTCTACCCACTAGATGCCAGTAGCACTCCCCAGTTGTAACAACCAAAACTGTCTCCAGACATGGCAAATGTCCCCTGGAAGGCAAAATCGCCCCACTGAAAGCCACCGGTCTAAGATAATCAGGCCATTTTGGCCTGGTTGAGGAGTCATCATTTTGGAGTTCCTCTGAGGGGCACCATTGTGCAGTGATTAATATCACTCCCCCTGGCGTCAGATAGTCGGGTTTTTAAATTCTAACCCTCGATTTACCACTTACCCTCTCTGAACTTAGGTTTCCTCTTTTGTTAAACCATTTTAGCCTTATAGAATTGTAAAGAAGAAATGAGACAGAATGTGGAAAGCTATAATCATAGTAACTGGTTTACAATGATAGTAACTGACATTTGTAGGTATTTAGCACAAGCCAAGCACTCTTCTAAGCATTTTAAATTGCAATTTCATTTAATTCCCATAAAATAGCTCTATGAGGTAAGTTCTATTAATATCGCCATTTTGCAGTTGAGGAAACTGAGGCACATGGAGTTTAAGTAACTTGCCCAAGGTTACATGGCTACTAAGTGGTGGAACCAGAATTGGACCTACCAAGTCTAACTCCACATCCCTCTCTTTAAATCCCTACTTTCTGAATGTTCAGTAAGTGGTAGCAATTGTCATTATTACTATAGAGTCATGGAGTATTACTGTCTTAAGTTCAAAGGAACTTCTGGATACTGTCCTTGATCCCAAAGTCAAGGAATCCTTGGTGATGCAGGGACACTTTAACGAAATACATTTGAAAGAATCAGGAGTTGATAGGAATGATGTCCCAAGAAAGGAGGCTATTTTTGTTGTGGGGTGAGGGGAAGGTCCCTCACCCAGATTCCCGTAGCCCTTCCCATAAATGTTAGATCCTTGTGATTCCCTCCACTCCCGAGAAAGACCCTCCACTTCAAAGGGGCTGGAAGTAGGGGTTGCTTCAGGTCTGGATTCTTGCATCCATGGAAGGAATCTTCCACAGAGAGAGAAATAGGAAGAAATACTTCAAACATCTCCCTCCCCTACCAACCAGGGACCAGGGCTAAGATGGTGGAAAGCAACTTAAGTCTGAGGAATTGTTCCATGTTCCTTCCTCCCAGCGATCTTCCCTCTCTTCAGGGCAAGGGCTGATGCCTCAATACTTACTTGGAAAGAGCCAGCCACTCAGATTAGATCCCTGGACATTCACTAGAAGGATGGATAGCACCAGGATTCTCAAAAGTCTGGAAGACTCCATTCTGAAGAAAAGCTGGCCTGTCTGGCAGTTCCAGAACGTGTAAATGTCTGTCTGCCTTTGTCCAGTCTGTTCATTCAGTAGTAGCTTGGGTATGAGAGCTGGAGTCAAGCCAGCCACTCCCTTTCCTGTGGGGAACACCAAGTTCCTGAGGTCATCAATGTGACTAGCCAGCATCTATAGCCCACAGCCCTGGGAAAGGGTCTTGTACTGGGTGGCTTCTGATCCTTAGCCTTCAGGGTTAGAATGGGTCCCCTGGTCAACCAGGGGCAGTAGGAGAAACTTGTCTGACTTTGTAGGCTACCTTAGGAGTGAATGCTACCATGAGAGGTCCTCTTCCTGATAACTTTGAGAGTTGTGAAGCATCGTCGTTCTCCAGTCATTTTCCATTTTATCTGCACGCCCTTTTGTTTGTCTCTGACAATGTGTCTCTATCGGTTTCTTGGTATCTCTTTGTTTCCCTGTGTCTATGTCTGACTTTTTTCTTTTTCTATGGTTCTTCCATGGTCTCTGTGTCCCTTTCTCCCTCTCCCGCACTCTCCTCCCATCCTGCTCCCTTTTCTCTTTGGGTCACTTACATTCTTTGATGAAGGCCAAAGGGTAAATATGTTGTCACAGAGTGGGGTGTGGAGGAGGAAGCAGGAGGATAGCATAGTTTTGCAGATAGTGTTTGTCAAGGTTGTGTTGCTTTGAGAGCAGGAGAGAATGTCAGAGCTTATAGGGAGCTTCTATCTGGTACAAACTCCCTGTTGTCTGAGGAGGAACTCTGAAATGAAGAGACCTGCCTGAGAGACTACAACTGAATAGAGGTCAATAATGCAGCAGAGATGCTGCATTCTAACTGGACCAGTGGAGGGGCTATTGGAAGGAGAGTGCTGGAGTACTCGGCAGCTTTCCTACAGCCACAGAATCCACACCACCAGCCAGTCAATCAGCCCTGGTAGAAGGGAGACAGTCTTTAAAGAGTAAATGTCATCTGTAGGGTCCCCATTTCCTTCCCTAAGTAAGTGGTGCACTTTTGGGCCAAGGTTTCTTCTTCAATTCTCCTACATGGTGAACAGAAGCCAGACAAAGTCAGCCTTATCATTAGCAGATGACAATATGATCACAAAGTTTAGGATCACAGACAGAACTCCCACGGGAGATACATTGTGTGAGTCTCAGCCTACAGATAGTGATATTCTCTGCTAGGAATGTCTGAGGCACTCACGTGGGCCATATTTACTCATAATGAGCCCTACAGATGTTTCCCCCACCACCACTGGGGCAATGCTGTGGTTGGATCAGCCCTGGTGGTTCTTATTATGATTACCAGATTCACTTTGGCAAAACCATCAAGGAACTTTGAAGATCAAGATTTACTACTCACAAGTCTGGAGGGTACGTGGTAGGCCAGAGGGCCACGCAGCAAGGTTGTAAGCAGGGAAAGAGGGAAAAACTGCAGACCTGGGGCTCTGCCTTTATTAAGGTCCAAGGGTAGGGTATCTAGGGTTTAATGAGTTCACTCTTTATTGGTGAATTTAAAGCATAAAAGCAGGAATTAGGATGTGGAAAGGGAGAAACAAGGCCATTCAAGCAGTAAGTTATCCGGGTTACTCAGGGCTTTCTGAAAAGGGAACTTCATGGAAGGGGTAGCCTGGTCCCTTATCTAGTTGTTTTGCTAGAAGCTGTGTCATACAGCTGGCAATGTGTTTATTTGAGATGGATGTTTTTGAAATGGCTGCCTCAGCAAGAAAAAGCTGAATGTTAGACACTTACAATAAAAAAGCTTAATGTCAGGTGCTTACAGTACAGAATCTCATCCTACCAACTTCACAATCTCACTGGATCCCACAAAGAGATCAGGGACTAGAATTTCTAATGAACAACCAAGATGTCTTAAGTAGCACTACTCCTCTTACTCTACGACCTGCATTCTCCCAAACTCAGCCCCGAAGAGAGTGAAAAGCTGAAATACCAGGTGGAAGGATTCTGGGGGCCCATCGAGTCCCTTTTCCTCATCTTACAGATAGGGATCAGAAGTCCCAGAGAAGTGAAGATGTCCATTCAATGTCACCCAGCAAGTGAGTGTCAGAGATAAAGTTAAGAGGGACCTGAATGTTCTTGTCATAGGTCACTATGGAATCTTCTGATATTGCTGTGGATATAATATTTTACTATGAAGTTGAAGGTAGAGAGGAACAGTGAGTCCAAAGGGGATGAAGGTGTCTCAGTGGAGATAGAGGCTAAAGACCCACAGAGTCTGTAAATGTCCAAATGATTCCCAGGATCCCCAAATAAGGTTGAATTCTTCTCTAAATTTTCTTGAAAGTAAATGAAAATTCAGAATTTCTTGTTGTTCTATCCCATTCTGTCACGCCTAATTTTCAGCCCCACTCAACGGCCTCACTTTCCAAGTAAATGAGATGAAATTTACATCTTTGAGGTCTGGCATGAATGATGTTTCTGGTCCCTTCCCTCACCTAATTTATTGGAGTAAGCTGGGTAAGGATCCACCTGGGCTTTGTCCCTCCTTCCCTTACCTCCTTTCATTGATGGTCATGGTGCCCTATCTCTGCCTCAGTCACACTTCTGTTCTAGAACCAATCTTATGCTCAGAATATGCTCAAAGAGCACTAATGTAGATGGCCTCTACCCGGAAATTGCTACTTATTCATTAGACCAAGACCTGTCACATGTTCTAAATTCCTGTCACTGGCTTTTCATGTTGTTCCCTGTGCCTCTAACTGTATTACTGAGTTTCATGTTTGTTTCCTCCAAATAAACTCTGAGCTCCATTGAACAAGTCTGTGTCTAGAATCTAGCAGTTAGAACATGAATGGGCCCAGAATAAACACTCAGCACATTCTGCTGGATGAGCAATGTAGGTATGGGATTGGTAGGTACATACGTGGATGGATGCATGGCTCATATCATGATGAATGGGAAGATGATTGGATGAGTAGGAAGAAGGATGGGTGAAGGTAGCATGGACATTTGGGTACATGAATGCATGGATATAGATGGGTAAATGAATGGACCAGGTGAAGAAAAGGATTGGATTGAACATAAGGATGGATAGGTTAGTGATAAGATGAATGGACTTTTTTTTTTTTTTTTTGGTGAGGAAGATTGGCCCTGAGCTAATGTCTGTTGCCAATCTTCCTCTTTTTGCTTGAGGAAGATTGTCCCTGATCTAACATCTGTGCCAATCTTCCTCCACTTTGTATGTGGGACACCACCACAGCATGGCTTGATGAGCGGTGTGTAGGTCCACACCCAGGATCCAAACCCACAGACCCCGGGCCACCGAAGCAAAACATATGAACTTAACCACTATGCCACCAGGCCATCCCTGAATGGGTCTATTGATGGAAGCTGTTTGAATGGAAGGCAGATGAGTGGTTTGGTAAGTGGATGGAGGGGAGATGGGGGTAGAAATCATGAAGTATGTTGTGGGTATGAGAGAATGTGTGTGTGTGAAAGATGGTAGATAGATAACAGGTAAATAGGAGAAAGGCTGAATATAAAATGAGCAGCCAGATAGGTAGAAGGAAGATAAATGAGAAGAGTAAGTGGATGGTTATATGGGTGAAAGGATGGGCGGGAAGATAAATAAGTTGAAAGGTATTTCAATGGAGGGCTGGATGAGTGGATTGATAGGTGAGTAAATGGATTGAATGGTTGGTGGATAGGTGTGAGGGAGTGGAAACATGATGCACAAATGAAAACATTAACCAAAGTTAAAGATATGAAAAGAATCATGTAGAGAGAAATTTATACTACTGTAAAGTAATACATCTGAAAATAAAGAGACAATAGATCAATTTTAGCAAAATACAAAAGACCAAAATTTATAGAAGAGGAGGTAGAGAGCCTGTACAGACTATGAATGAAGTACAAAAAATTAGTAAAAGCATACCATTATGGAAGGACCTAAAATATGCTTTTGGAGATGAATTTTGTCTAGCCTTCAAACAACAGAGTATTGATATATTATTAAACATATTACAGATATAAGAAAAATAGGTACGTTTCCCATACTAGTTTTTTTTTTAAGATTTTATTTTTTTCCTTTTTCTCCCCAAAGCCCCCCGGTACATAGTTGTTTATTCTTCGTTGTGGGTCCTTCTAGTTGTGGCATGTGGGACGCTGCCTCAGCGTGGTTTGATGAGCAGTGCCATGTCCGCGCCCAGGATTCGAACCAACGAAACACTGGGTCGCCTGCAGCGGAGCACGCAAACTTAACCACTTGGCCACGGGGCCAGCCCCCCATGCTAGTTTTTTGAAAGTAATATGACTCAAATAGCACAACAAAAATCATAGACCTATTTTTATTTTGACTATAGATGTGAAAATTCTGAATAAACTATTCACTAAAAGAACCAACAGTGCATTAATATAAGTATACCCTCAACATGATTAAGGTCATTCCAAGAATGCAAGGATGGTTCAACAAATGAAAATTTAATAATATAAGTTATTATACCAACAAATTGGAGAAGAAAAATCATTACATGACCAGATGCTTAAAAAGCATTGGATAAAATTCAGCAGTAATTTCCAATAGTAATTGTAAATGGATAAAAAGGAAACAACTCAAGTGAGATAAAACCTATTTATCACCAAACTCAACAAATGTCATTTTATACAACAGGAGACATTGATTTTAAAATAAAGAACTAGACAGGGATAGATGCCATTGCCTTTATTTTCAACATTATTTCAGAGGTCCTACATAATATAAGAAGACAAGAAAACAAAGTAAGTCATGGAGTTGGAAAAAAGAGTCTAATTTATTGTCATCTTCAGATAATATGATTATATATGAAGCCAAAGTAACTCCATTAAATATTGTTATACTTAATAAGACAATTTGGTAAAGTAGTTGAATACAGGACAAAATTGATAACTTTTTATTATGCTACTCATAATTAATTACTTTGATGATAATGTTTTCCACTTACTATTCAATTTTGGGGTTCCATGCACTTCAGTCCACAACGTGAACAGCACTTCTCTGACACTGGGCAATCATCATCCCGCAGGCACTTGGGTTTATCAATCTTGGAACACTCTGTGGGCTTGCGTGGGCAGAAACCTGCTTTGACTTTATTGGGTAAAACAAGACACTTGACCTTGAAATACTTGATCATAGTTTGAGACAAATTTGAGGAATCTTGGGAACATTAAATAGGGTTTCCTTCTGATCAAGCCTCTTACCCTTCCCCCAGAGTAGGAATAGAGTTGAGGAGACAGAATATCAACTTTGTGTGGGTAACAATTTCAGGATAATCAAAAAGTTTGGCCATTGCCAACTTATAAAATCTGTTAAGATTCCTGCCTGCCCCTACAGAATTAACGGGTTGGAGTTATCAGATCCCAGAGTACCGGGGATAGAAGGAGTATTAAAGAGCATCTAGAACTTCCTTGTCTTATAAATTGTAAAAATTGAGGACCATATGGGGGAAGTGAGTCACTTAAGGCCATACAGAAAACCAGTGGAAAGTTGAAGTCAGTTGAAAAGGCTTTTACTCCTTCTGCCATAGCATGCTATACCTCAAAACACTGACAATCCCCAAGACCATACTATCTCAGCACTATGTGGGGGAAGGAGCACTAGTCTTAGAGACTACAGAGTTCACTTCTAGCCCAACAGCATCTTGCTACCAATCTTTCCCCCAGCACACCTTGCAGGATGTGAATATGCTGTGCATGCTCTGAAGTTCTATGCAGACATAGGGGCTTACTAGGAATATACCTAATGGTTATGATTTTTTTTTGTATGAATAAGTGAATATTGTCACCTTGTAGGCCATTGAAGAGTGAGACTCAGAATAAATAAGTTTTGGGGAATGATTGGCTTTGAAGGATAGCACAAGAGTCTCCCAAGATCAGGAGGGCAACATGAGAGCATTGGTTAGGCATTAAAAGAGAAAGGTTCCCAAGAGACCTCTACAGTCAACCTAAGGGGTATCCCCTGTTCCATGGGACAGCATGGCATCCTTAGCATATGCCCAACAGACTTTGGGAAGTATATCCCCAGTCCTTACCTGTCCAGGCCGTGGCACAAACAAAGCCACATATGGATTCACAACATTTTTCAGTTTGGGGACAATCGATGTCACTCTTACATAAAGCTGAACACATCATACGATTCTTTAAAGGGAAGAGTGGGCACTGTCCTTTCTTGGCTAAAACAAGAGCAGATGTGAGCTCCTTCAAACCCCACCCCATCCCATCACCCTTGAAACAACTTTCCTTCTCTTCAAAACTGGTATCTCTTTCTGCAACTTGGTTCACTCTATTCTGTCCACCTACATTAGGCTATAGAGGAATGAGATGCCTCACTGTATCATGGGATGTAGTAGAGAGTTACGCTTGGTGTTTGAAGCCTCAAAGTCAAGTCCCAGTCCTGACACTCAATGAGTGATTTCAGTTTCCTTCTCTATAAAATAGGAGTAACTATGTGAAATCTACATAAATCAGTGTAAGCCATTTTACAGGATTCGGTTTTATGTTGAATGAGGAGTGACGTGATCTGACTCATTTTGAAAGGATCATTGTGGTTATTGTGTTGATAATAGATTATAAGAAGGGAAGGAGAGAAGCAGCGAGACCTGTTAGGAAGCTGTTGCAGTAATCCAGGTGAGAGATGACACCTCAGATCAGGGTGGCAGCTATGAGGTGGGAAGAAGTGGTCAGATTCTGAATCTATGTTCATGGTAGAACTAAAATGATTTCCTAACTTAATGGATGTTGATCAAGAAAGAGAGGCATCAAAGGTGATTTAGGAGTTTTTTTCAGCCAAGATGGGGAGAACTATGGATAGAGCAGGTTTGAGGTGGGAGAGCAAAGATTAGGGTTCCAGCTTTAGACAAGTTAAGTGTGAGGTGTTTGTGAGATCCAGATGGAGGTGCAGAGTAAGCAGTTGGATTTGGGGACTCAGATTCGAGCTGGAGATACAACTTTGTGGGTCAGTAGGACAAAGATGTCATTTAAATCCATTCTTCAAGATTTTGTGCATGTCTCCTGTTTTCCTCATCTGATTGCAAATTCTACAAGGACAGGAAGTGTTTCTTTTTTTTATTCTTCTTCAAGTCAAACTCAGACAGCCTGTGGTGTGTTTAACTCTCAGAGCTATTGTCGGGTTCTCTCTTGGGCCCACAAACCAGCCCAAGCCCATTTTCCTTAGCCTCTTCTTCCTGCTGGCTCCTGAGAGAGAACCAAGGTCTTGTCCACAGTGCCATGATTCCTTACAGACTCCCACAAAGGGAAGCTTGTGATTCGAGTTTCATCACATCAGGCCACAGGATTTCCTCAGCCATTCAGGCTCACTGGGCCCATGGAATTAAAATTCTCGCTCTACTTCTGACCTACTGTGAATCCTTAGGCAACTAACTTTACTTCTGTGACGCTGTTTCCTCATCTGTAAAATGGTGGTAATGGTACACTTATCAGCCCGCCTCACGGAAACTAAGGTCAAAATTCTAATGCTGCATTGTAAATCACACAGTGCTACATTTTGAAGATCAACAGTCCACCATCTCAATTTGTACTATTTAGTGAGCCCAAACTACTAGATGGCCACCATGTCAAATCTTTGTGTTTTTGATCACATATAATCCTACCAACAACTCGATGAGGTATTTGCTATTATTCCAGTATTACAGGGGAGGGAACTGAAACTCAAAGAGGTGAAGAAATTGGCACCAAGTGGGAAGAGTAAGATTTTAATCCAGATCATTTGGCATCTAAGCTCTGTAGGACACTGTCTCCCAACATTACTGGTGATGGTACTTTATACTAAGGAATGAATCTGAAGTCTTCACCTTCACCCCGCCCTACTCCTCACCGACTCCATGTTCTACTGCTGCTCCATGGGATTTCAGAGCTGGCCTGTCTATGCTTCATTCTTGAGTGAGTCCTCAGAGATACTCAACAGGTCAATGTAATGAGGAAACATCTGCTTCCAAGGGGTAGACCAGGCTTTCAGGTCCCCTTGGCCAAAGTTTATTGACACTTTATGTGTACTATCTCATTTTTTGGCACAACAACTTCATTAGGCAAGTATTATTATTATCCCCGTTTTATAGACAGGAAAACTGAAACTCATAAAAGGCAGGCAACTGACCCAAGACCACCCAGCCCGTGAATGACAGAGCTAGGACTTGAACCAAGGCAGTTTAACCCCAAATCCTGAGCCTGTAAGTGTGCTGGAATACTATTTCTGCTTAGACTAGGCCCTCAGATCGCCAGGGATGGGAGACTTACCCGCTAATGAGCAAGCCGTCTTGCAGTCTTCCCTGTTGAAGAAGTTGTTGGCATTCCCATCGCAGCCTCTATATGCAAAGGGTTTGCATAAATGATCTTTAAAGTCAAAATACCAGTGTCTGGCAGGACTTTCACAGTTTCCTGGGTCTAAGGGTAGCGAGCAGGGTTCTGAGGGCAAGAAGCAAAAACGGAAGAACATAAAGGGGAGCAAAAAAGAGAAGGGGTCAGGCCCTCAGCCTTTGTAGAGTTCATGGTGTTACTATCCAAGTCACAGAATGAGCTATGGTCAATAAGTTCTAGTCCTAGCTCTACTACAAATACTCTGTTGCACAGCATCTCTGAGTATTATTTCTACCTTGCAAATGATACAGTGAAGAGCACACAAGAATGCTTTGGAGCTGATCTTTCTTCTCCACTGCTCTGAGCTTTGGGAGGGCAAGACTTGTTCAGCAACTATATCTAAAGTGCTTAACAAAGTGCCTAGCACACAGAAGGAATGAAATCCTGAGGAAAACAGAACAGCCCCTCACGTCTGGAAACTGATCCGATGCTCATGGCCAAGCCGTGTTGCTTCCCTGTTGGACATAAACAATCTCACAGGACATTCACATCAAACAAGGTCACTCTGAGACAACGATAAAGTGAGACCAAGCAAATATCACTGTGAAACCTACAAAATATCAAACACCTATGAATGATTTGTGCTTCTCTACCAACTTCAGCTTTATCCTCACTCTAGCCTGCCCTCTATAGATAAGATTCACTGAGATACTCAATCACAGAAATGCCCCCGCTTTCTGACAGCACCCAATCTAGAGCAAACCCCGCTTCCTTAGTTGTTGTTAGTGCTATTCATTGGGTTCCAACTCCAAGCAACCCTGTGTGCAGCAGGGCAGAAGCCTGCCCAGTCTTTTTTGTGCCCTCCACTCATCTTCCGGTGCTGTATCAGACAATGCTCTGCTGCTGTTCGTAGGGTTTTCATGGCCAATTTCCTTAGACTCTCCCCCAAATTACCCAAGCAAAGCCTCAATCCTAGAGTAGATTCTAACAGCTTCTTCCTGAGATGCCTCATGTTGTCTATGTTAAACATTCGACTTCACTACAACAAGTAATAAACCCAACTTGTTCAACTACAAGTGTGTTCCTGGCGGTCTTTGGCCAAAGGGCGTTGGCAATAGGTATTCGTTGAATGAATGAATCTATATAAAATGCATAGTTCCCTATTATTAGATGTTCAATACTTCGAGCTACCAGAAAACCTCCTTGAAGGGAAAAGGATCCAAAAACAACCCTAGCAACTAAGTTGACTGAGGTTTATGTTTGCCACAGTGCCAACAATAGTCTCTTGATCCACAGTAAGCATGAAACAAGTATTAGTTATTCGTGAATGACTGAACGTTGGACCAAAGAATGTGGGACCAAACATTAATATTATCCTATTGATGCCCACCATGCCTAGACTCATCGTTTGTACTTAAGAGTTGGTAGTCTAATTAGAGAAGCAGAAAAGCATGAACCCTGGCTTCTTTGTCCTGCCATTCAAGGGAATCATTCAGCCAGTTCTGGACAGAGAAGGAAGTAGGACACCTCAAGAGGCACCGCTGCTCCCAGCCTGGATGCCACTACCTTGATATGGATCCATGCACTTCTTTCCACAGGCGAAAGAGCAGCACTTCAGGTGTTCGTGGCAGTTGAAATCCGTTTTGCATGAGTCTGGAAGTTTACTTGTACAGGTAAGCCTCTCTTTGGGGCACTCGCCTGGTTTGTCTGCAAGAAAGAAATGTCCAAATTCACCTCCCTTGAGAGTTTCAGCTGTCTCTCAATAGTGAAATTCTCTCACCCGTATCCTCTACCTTCCATCCTCAGTTTCTGCTCTGCTTGTATTTAGGGACTGAGCCTGCCTCTCACCACTCTTAGCCCATTCAGATAGATCTGAATCAGGAATTTATGCCCAGGTAGAACTGAAGGGGAAGCATCTTGAACGCCAGGGCAGGGGGTTGGATAAGAACCAAGACCCTTGCCTTAAATTCAAGATCTCATCTCTATTTTAGAAACTTGATATTTTAATGCCTAATTCCTCTGCCTCCAGTATCTTAGTTGACAGGGGAAATTAATTAGTGAGGAGTGGTGGAAATATCATGGAAATAGAAGTCATGAGGTCTGATTTTGACTCCTGACTCCTTGTGAGCTCAACAGCAAAGTGTCACTATATGACTTCGCAGTTACCACTAAGGGTAGAAGAAACGGTAAAGTGGAAGGAGCATTGTATGCAAGGCAGATCTGGCTTGGGAGCCTGACTCCAATACAACTAGCTAAATAATCTTGGAAAAAATGTCTTTCTTTTGTCTAAGTCATAAGTTTCCCATATGTAAAATGAGAATTACAATCTCCACCTCACAGGCTGCTTATAAGGGTTAAGTGGGATGATACCCATAATGCACTTATCACAGTGCCTGGCACATGGTAAGAGCTTGGCAGATATGGATTTGCTTCACCCCTGTTTAGGGCTAGACATGGCTTCTTGATTTCAGTGCTTGTAGTAGGCAGAATTCTAAAGTTGCACCCCCACGATTGTTCTCCTCTGGTTATTGAATCAAATGCTCATTTAGGTACTGCTGTGAAGGGATTTTGTTGATGGAAATAAAGTCCCAAGTCAGTTAATCTTAAGATACAGACATTAGCTGACCCAATCTGTTGAGTCCTTTAAAAATTTTTTTCCTTGATTGGTACAGAAGAAGAGGTCAGAGAGATTCATACTATAAGAGGAATCCAACTGCTATTAGTGGTTTTGAAGATGGAGGCAGCTAAGTGCCTAGTGAGGGTGGCCTCAAGAAGCTGACAGGTGGTAAGGGAACCTCAGTCCTAAAATTGCAAGGAAATAATTCTGCTAACAACCAGTGAACTTGGGAGAGAACACTGAGTCCCAGATAAGAACTGCAGCCTTGGCTGACACCTTGATTTCAGCCTGGTGAGAACCTGAGCAGAGAACCCAGATGTACCACATTAGACTTTTGACGCTTCTTAATTTGTTACACAGCAACAGATAGTTAACATAATGCTTGATATGGCTCCATGGCTCTAAACAGCATCTCCCCAGTGGAATCTGACCAGAGAGGAATGATAATTTAGAATACTACTAAGTCTTGGAATCACAAAATTTTAGAATTGAAAAGATCATATTTATCATTAGTATCAACCTCCTAATTTCATAGGTTAAAAAAAGATTAGGTCAGATAGGATAATACAGTGTGCTAGGGGCAGGTCTAGGACTGCCAATCCATGACTCACTCCAGAAGCCCCACATCTTCCCTGAGGACTGGCCACTAAGACTTTTAGCACTTTCCAATTATATTTCTTACCCCCATACCACTCTTAAGGCACCCTCCAAGGATGACTTGAAGCTAAGAAGAGTACACGGCTCCTAATCTGGAGTGTACATTGAAATCATCTGTGCATCTTTCAGAAAATATCGACAGTGGACTGAATTAGAATCTCTATACAGTGAGGCCTAGGGACTCAAATTTTTAAAAGGATCTCAGGTGATCCTGAGCAGGAAATTGGGCACCATGATGTAGGCTACTACTTGGGAACCTGTTCTGGGTTTGGGCACAGACAGAGTTAAGCAAATCAAATAGGGACACCTCCATAGAGGTAAAGAGGCACAGAAACCTTGGCATTATGGAGACAAACTTCCCCTCTCACTAGTGTGGACTCCAGCCAGTTCAACCTTTTTCCTGCTTCCTGGGGCCACTTAAACCTTTGTTTTGGTTCCAGTTGTTGTAGCTCCTTCCCCCACTGTCAGCTTGAACCTCACTTACAATCCTCCTTCCTCCTTGTCACCCTTCTCAGCCACTTACCTCACATGTACAGTCTCCTCTCTGATACATACCTCACGGGGTCCTCTGCAGTTACTGAGGATGCTCCCCAGACTTTGGTCTCAGCCCAGCCCCATCATTACTTGACTCATAGTTCCTGAGTGATCACATCCATTCTCATGATCCCAACTGTGATTCCAATATCTCCCTCCAGACCTATCCTCTCTTCCAAGCTAAAGACACTTATATCCAACCACCTGGGGAAAACATCATTTGGGCATCTTATAAGCACCTCTGTTCCAACATGTTTAAAACTGAACTAGAGTCTCCCCATATCTAAGCAGCACCTTCCTCTCTCTATTTCCATCTTGATCTTTGGCATCAACAGTCCCCCAGTCTGTTATTAGAACCTCAAGATTCACTCCTCCCTCTCCATCACCCCAGCATCCTATCAGTCATGGACTTGAGTCAATTCTGTCTCCTAAATCTCTCTCCAAACTCCCTCTCTTCTCTCTCTTTACTACTACTTCCTCAGGTTGACTCCTGACCTCCTCCCATCTCTCTCCTCAACTATTGCAACAGCCTCCTCACTGGTCCTCTGCCCTCAGGCTCCTGCCTAGAGACTGATTAATTTAAAAAATTAAACTTGGAAAAGATACATACCAGGAAAAGTTAGGGTAATAATTTTGGGGGGAGCAGGTGAGGGAAGGATTTGAAGAGCCCTGGGTGAATGAGTGGGGCTAGTTCTCTGAAGCCACAGTAGAAGTGGCCTCATCCAATACGAGTCCTTGTCTTTTGTCTAACCCTCAGTCCCCAAGAACACCTCCTAAGCAAGAATGGCTGCAGCTTTTCTGAACCCACGTTTGACTTTTTTGCTCAGCGATGCAGATGTCTGCTCCAAAGAGAGGAAGAGAAGCACCAAAAGCGCTACATTTCTCCAGGAGAAGGTGGAGCTATGGAGAGGAAGCTGCCTGTGTGGGATGAGAAAAGAGGCAGGGGTTAAGCATGAGCCAGAGAGAGATCCAAAACACATGCAGAGGAACCTTGGAGATGACCCATCAATTCCCTTAGTTCACGGATGAGAAAATCAAGACGCATAATGGCGAAGGGATCTCTCTGAGGACACGTGGCGAGTAGGGCAGGACCTTCAATCCCAAGACTCTCTCAGTGGCCCCACACTCTGCCGTGGTCTTTAAAATGTCCTACCAGACAATTGCCCACTGTCTTGCTCCTGAGTGAGAGGCCACACTTGAATGATCACAGGGATTTGTCTGGAACAGTTGCAGGGCTGGTTTGCCCACACTCGCTCCTGGGGCAACTCCAGGCACTAGTGAGCGTCTTTTCTTTGCACCACTCATGACAAGAGACTGATGGTATGAGATTTGCAGGAGGAGTTGGGCATATCCCACTGGGACTTAGTGCCCTAGGAGCAAAAAAGATCCCAGATAACCTTGGGTTGACAAAGGGATCCCTCTTATTCTGTCTGGTGTTATCCAAGCCTAGGAGCTTATGATACCCCCAAACAACCACATAAACAGATGCTGTTCCCCTGCTCCTTCAAACCTCCATTTTCCATTTGGCTCTTCCTGGCCCTTATGTATTTTTTCAATTTATCGTGTGAAGAAGCGATAATACCTTACACTGTTACCTCTCTTGGAGTAAACGCATTTTAAAAACAGCAAGAGAGAGAGAAAGAGACAGAGGCAGAAAAGAAGGGAGAGAGAGAAAGAGAGCAAGTGAGCGAGAGAGAATGTCTTTATGCCAAAGTATGCATCTCTAATATTGGTGGAACTTCAGACATTGAGAAAGAAGTAGAGTCTTTTCCAGAACTCCTGGAGCCATATTATGTTGTTGCCTATGGGTAAAGTTCATGGCAGTTTATCCTCCCCCCTGCCTAAAATTTGAATCCTGTATCCTTTCCAAATTTTATAAGATGCCTGGACTGTTCGATATGGGAATTATGGCCCCAAACACAGTGATCTTGATTTTGGTCCTGGCTTGGCCACTTATACCGGTGGCTGTTCCTTGGATCCTCACTGTCCTCATCTAGAAAATGGGAATGACACAACCTACCTGGAAGCTTTGTTGTCATTGTAAGGATTAGATGAGATAGTGTGAAGACTATTCATGAAGTGGTATGGAATGGCCAAAAAATTAGCGTTTGGTGTTGGACTCGGTTCACATCTGGGACCCCCCACTTACCAGCTATATGGTCTTGGCTCAGTCACTTAAACTCACTGAGCCTCAGTTTTTCATAAAGCAAATAGTAGTAACACGAAATTCATAGATATGAAAATTGATTGAACTATTGTGTAAAGTGTGGTGACTAGCATATAATTAGTGCTTAATATATTTTAGTCAGTAAACAAATAATAGAGTGAATGCAAAAAAAGGTGGTACCTGTTGTCTTTTTAGCTTTTGAGTTCCTAGTCAAAGACTGTGTATGTCATTACATCAGTTTCCCCAAAAGATTAGCCAAAAGGCCCTATGGTGCCTTAAATTCTTAAGATCAAGTCACTCTTTTGGTTTGAAATTTTACCCTTTAACTAGTAACACCTACTAACCTGGTCTTGAGAATTAGTTGATCAGATTAGCTTGTAGTCAGTTAGTAGGAAGCAGAACTCATGGAGTGGCATGGGGGAGAGACACAGATAAATAGGATTGCCAAATATAATATAGGATGTCTAGTTATAATTTTTAGCATAAATATATCCCATGCAATAAAGGACCATAGTTATACTAAAAAATTATTTGTTGTTTATCTGACATTCAAATTTAGTTGGTCATTCTGTATTATTATTTGCTAAATCTGGCAACTCTAAAGCAGAATTAATCCATTTTGATTGGAGGGGGATTTATTTGGGCAAGAAACTACAAAACATGGGCCCTGTGGAGAACAAATCAAAGCGTACGGAGGTGTTGCTCACTGGGGCCTCTGGAGAAGTAGGTCAGACCCAGAAGGCATCGGCACAGAGTGCTGCAGAAATAACACAGTAGGAATGGAGAGACGCTGACTGAAGTCCAGGTTCCACCGTCAACTCACTATGTCAGTTTGGGTTGTTTATCTCAATCCACGCATTTGGAAAATGAGTGCATTCAACTAAATCAGTCCTACTCATGCTGGCACACCCATACCCTGGAGGAAGCAGAAGGATTTTCCAGATGGTACACAGGCACAGATAGATTTAAGGACATTATGTCCTGGTTTGTAAATTCCACATTTACTTTTCCTAAGTTGGTCAGCCTGAGAAAGAGCCTGCTGCAGTCTGGAGTTCTCATTTGCTATCTTTCTTTCATAAAGTCCTTCTTCTTAAAAAAAAAAAAAAAAAAAAAAAAAAAAAGAGGGTCATACTTCTTACCTATCTCTTGCGTGTCCCCAAAGTGTAAAAACTTCTGAGTTCCAAACAAAGCAACAATTTGAGAATGCTTTTCCTGAGGATGCTTCCCCAAGAGCAAAGCAAAGAAAGTGTGGGTGAGAAACACTAAGGGGTCAGTACCTTGTTTTACTAAAGTGACAAACTCATAGCAAGTCGCTTCGCTATCCCTTTAGCTCTCTATCCTAGAACTAGAATTCAGAAATGTGATGGTTGCTACAGGTATGTGTATTAAAACATTTATTTCAATTGAAAAATGAAGTCAGTCTCTGTGGGAGAAAGTCATCTGATTTGGTTGATTGAGGACTGACTTTGCCAATTCGTTGATCTGGTTAACACTTTTTCATAAAAATCCTGAGTTAAATCTGTGACATCAAAGTTAAAAAAGGAAAATATTTAGAGCATGGAATAAGGTAAAAGCATTTTATAAAAAAATATATTATCAAAGTTAATTGTACTCAAACTTTCCAACACTTACAGAGTATATCAGATTAAATAAGATGTCTAAATAAAAGGGTAATAGGTATAATTAAGGACATTATTAATCATTCGGTAAGTGCTGGTAAAGCCTTTTTGGTAAACTTTCCAAAAGTTAAGAAAATCACTTTTGATTTGTGATCAGTATTCTAATTACTAGGAAACAAATTCTTTTAAGTATAAGGTTTCTAATTCACTGCCTTTATAAAAATTAAAAGAGAGTTTAATCCAGTTGTTGGTTAATATTTAAATTTCATCATTAAAATAATTTTTTTATTATAGAGCATTATGTGATTTTTGGCAACTTACTGGAAGTTCAAAGAACCAAGTGACACACCTGTAACAAAACTCCTTGCGTTCCTGTGCACTCACATATCATTAAGAGATGCACCACCTATAGAATTTTGTGTATCAATAAAATTTTGATTTATCAATAGTTTCAATGTATTTATTTATATACTTATTATTGTTATGTTATTTGGATAACAAATGGAATGAAAAAATCAATCCATAAGCAAAAATTTTATTCCTAGAGTCTTATGGTCACAGTAAATGAAAAAATTAAATTTTAATTTATAAGTGTTTTTATTGCATAGCAGTATGAAAAGGTGATGAATAAAAGACTTTTGAGCCTAAGATTATATTCCACTAGATTAAAAGTCTGTGCAGCAAGAGGAACGGAAATAGGAATTCGAGGAGAAGAAGTGTTGTAAAATTTCCAACTGTCAAAGTGCTTTTCACGTATTTTTTAAATGGATGATTGTGGGTATCAAATTAATATGGTATTTTGACCCCAAGGGATTCATTTTTAGAAGTTATGTAGCAATTTTTTAAAACTATTAATATTTACAGCATGTTTTCATAATGCACTTGAGACTCATGCATGTTGTTGTGTGTTGTTTCTTTTTACTGCTGAGTTATCGTCCATCAAATGGATGTACCAGAGGTTGTTTATCCATTCACTAGTTAAGGGACATTTGTATTGTTTCCAGTTTTTGCTGTTATGAATAAACCCCCTACAAACGTTTGCATACAGGATTTTGTATGAACATAAGTTGTCACTTCTCCCGGGTAAATACCAGGAGTGGGATCGCTGGGGGATATAATAAGCATTTGTTTATAAGAAACTGCCAAACTGTTTCCCAAAAAAGCTGTACTGTTTTGCATTTCTACTAGTAGTGTATGAGAGTTCCACTTGCTCCACATACTTGCCAGCACTCAGTAGTGTAAATGTTTTTATTTTAGTCACTCTAATAGATGTGTAGTGATAAAATTGCAAGATATTTTAAGAGATTCAAGTAATTAGCTTAAATTTCTGGAACCCTAAGAATTGAAGTCGTTTAGAATGATGGTAGGGAGACTTTTCCTATTTTCCCACTTCCCTTAGGATAATGTTTCAAACCCAGTGGGCTCCTCGGTCCCTGAGCCTGATTAGTCAGAAGTTTCCCCAGCACCCTATCATTGAACCTACCTCTTTGCCCAGTTTCCCCACATGGCAGAGGTTGCTCTTTGCAGTAAACTGAGGAGCATTTTGCAATGGAAAGGTCTACAGATGGCCAGAATCTGGGGGAAGAATGTGAATTTCCAGGTTACAACCTTTGAGAACTACAGGTAAGGCCCCACTATGACTCTACCATATCCCACTACCCCTTCCTGCTCCCCCACTGGGAGCACACCCAGCCTCAGGTCCTATTTCCGTGGCTGAAAGCTCCTTGCTCATGTCTCCCTCATCCCAATGGCATGGCGTGTCTCCTCCACGGCTACTCAACCAGGAATGTGTTTTTAGCCTCAGTCACCGGGCAGGAGACCTTGAGGAAGGCAGTTAGCTCCATGGGTCTCTTTAATACGCCTCGCCCTAAGCTCAGGCAGAGTAAGTAGACGCCTCCTCCAAAGACACAACCTTCTAAATAACTCCCACTCAGCTGTCTGCATTCTTATTAGACTGAGGAAAGGCAGTCTCTAAGTGTGGAGTGTGGATCACTGTATATCTCTATAGTGTGTTATACAAATATCTTAACTCTTTCTAATTTTTTTGTCTCTTTGATCTGTCAATAATTGAGAAAGGTGTGTTGAGGACTTTCAGTACAGCCATAGATTTCTCAAGTTATGCCTGCAATTCCATCAATGCTTGTTTAATATATTCTGATTCTATTGATTTAGGTAAATACGAATGTATTTCTGGTGAATTGAATCTTTTATCATTATTTAGTGACCTCCTCTCTATGCCTAAAATAAAGATTCATCTTAGAATTTGCCTAGAATTTTTCCACCTTTTTGCTTTCAACCTTTCCATGAACTTGTTTTTTATTTTTTAAATATTTTATTTTTTCTTTTTCTCCTCAAAGCCCCCCGGTACATAGTTGTATATTTTTAGTTGTGGGTCCTTCTAGTTGTGGCATGTGGGGTGCCGCCTCAGCATGGCTTGATGAGCGGTGCCATGTCCATGCCCAGGATCCAAACCTTTGAAACGCTGGGCCACCAAAGCAGAGCACGCAAACTTAACTGCTCGGCCGTGGGGTGGGTCCCTGAACTTATTTTTAAACCATGTAAATCTACATTTAAAGAAAAATCCAGTCTTACAATCTTTACCTATTAATTGACACTTATGGACACTAATGACCTATTAGGATTCATTTCTACAATCTTATTTTAAGTTTTCTATAGTCTATCGTCATTATTTGCAGATTCTGTATTTGTAAATTTCTTTCATTTTTGTTTTTTTGTCAAACACTCAATAGCAAGAAAACAACCCTATTAAGAAATGGGCAAAGGACTTGAGTAGAAATTCCTCAAAAGAAGACATATAAATGGCCAATAGATATATGAAAAAGTGCTCAACATCACTAATCATTGGAGAAATGAAAATCAAAGCCACAATGAGATGTCACCTCGCATCTCGTTAGGATGACTATCATTAAAAAGACAAGAGATAATAAGTGTTGGCAAGGATGTGGAGAAAAAGAAAATCTTGTGCCCTTTTGGCGGGAATTTAAATTGGTGCAGCCACTGTGGAAAACAGTATAGAGGTTTCTCAAAAAATTAAAAATAGAGCTACCATGTAATACAGCAGTCCTACTTCTGGGTACATATCCAAAAGAAATTAATGCATTATCTTAAAGAGATATCTGCACCCCCATGTTCATTGTAGCATTATTCATAATAGCCAAGTGTCCTAAGCGTCCATGGATGGATGAATGGATAAAGGAAATGTGATATATATGACTATTATTCATCCTTAAAAAAATTCTGTCATCTGCGTCAACATGGAGGAACCTAGAAGATATTATGCTAAGTGAAATAAGCCAGATACAGAAAGGTAAATACTGCATGCTCTCACTTACATGTGGAATCTAAAAAAGTTGGACTCATAGAACCAGAGAATAGAATGGTGGTTGCCAGGGACAAGGGGGAAGGGAAATGGCGAGATGCTGGTCAAAGGGTACAAGCCTTCAGTTATGAGACAAATAAGTCCTGGAGATGTAATGTACAGCATAGTGACTATAGTTAATAATACTGTACTGCATACTCAACATTTTCTAAGAGAGTAGATCTTAAATGTTCTCAATGCACAAAAAAAGAGGTGACTGTGAGGTGGTGGGTGTTTTAGTTAGATTGATTGTGGTAATCATTTCACAATATATACCTATATCAAAATATTACAATATATACCCTAAATACAAACAACTTTTATTTGTCAATCATATCTCAGTAAAGCTGGAAAAAGTTTTTAAAAAGAAGGTTTCACTGGGTATTCAGAACTGGATTAACAGTTACTTTCTGCTAGCACTTTGAAAATATATTTCTACTGTCTTTAGGCTTCCCTGGCAACTCTGGAGAAATCTTCTGTTGATCAAATGATTTCTTTCTTTTTGTTTTGTTTTTTTTACTTCAGTTATATATTTCTGGGTATGCTATTTGGTACTTTTTAAATATTCAGGTCATTTTTATGTTCTCTTTGACTAGTCATGCTGTTACTACCATCTTTTGTTTTCTTTCCTGAGCACTTTTATTTTGCACTCTGTATACAATAATACCAGTATCTGAATCCTTTGTGAATCTCTGCTATTTCTCTTGACTTTCATCTTTTCTTGTTTTCTTAAACTGTGTGTGGATTTTTTTTTCTTGAGAGCTCTTATATTTAATCAAAGCTTGTCTTTAAAGGTACTTTATCGATAGAATTTCTTGGAATTCTGTATTTAAGAAAGCATTTCCAAAATCAGTTTGTTTTACACATTACCCTAACAACTCAGGCTGTTTTGAGTTGAATTCATAGCTTCAGATTTCTCAGACTACACACATGCGCTAATTCCTGTTCCACTGTCATGTAAAGAAATTAGCCTGTAGTTAAAAATTCTTGGAGGAGTCTTTTTTCCCCCACTCTACTGAATGAATAAATAAAGTGTGGAATGTATATCCAATGGAACATTATTCAACCTTCAAAAAGAAGGAAATTCTGACAC